GGATCCCTTTTAGAGTTGTTGTTTAAAAAAAATTCTCCGATCTTGCATTATACTGCTCCTCTTCTACGCAAAATCTACAGGGTTTTTGTTTTTCTACGAAATATAATGCTGAATTTTGCAGGAAAATTGCAGTTTTAAAGGTGATATGTCCATATTCTTTGTCATTTTGTTCATTAAAAAGGTAAATTTGAGTGTTTGCTTCAAAATCATCCTTCGGTGCTAAGAAATTTTGGGAAAGTGAACAAAAAGTTTTAATTTTGGGAGTGAGTTTGGTGATCAGTTAGAGATTTTTCTCAAATTTCATTTAACCAAAAAAGGCATTTCTCATTTCTTTGTTATATTACTCCTTCTGATTTACAATAGATACCCGTTTCTGTACATCGGGTCGTTTCTATTATATTCTGAATCGTTTTAGTTGATCAAGATGGTTCTGCCATTGATTATTGTATCTCCTTTTAGATCATCATTCTTTATGTATGCAATTTTATACAAAGTTCAGTGATGCATGAAACGATCGGGATTTTGGCGTAACAGATTCATTTGGGGAATGCTTAGTTAGGGTTTTATTATGTTCCTTTCCTCTATATTCTTTGTTTGGGGTCCATAATTTTGTTTCCTGTTTAACGAAAAATGGTGATGGATTTGGATTTTGGAATTTTTATAAAAAATTCCATTTTTATGAACTTAATATGCTACATCAAATAAGGTGACAAAGCAATTTCATTTTATATGATTTATGTATATATTCATGCATTTCTTTCCGATTTCTTCTTTTAGCTTTGTGTAGGTGGAATATGTAGATCTATGACGTAAGATGCCTTGTATATTTAAACCAAATTCTGTTATGGCTATAAGTTGCGCTTTTATGTTTAAACCAAATTCTGTTATGGCTGACAACTTGATCAAATTAGTAGCTTTTCATGATTACCATGTTCCGTGTTTGAATTTATGTGTTTTGGTATGGAAGTTTTAGTGTAGTTACTATATTGTCTGGTTAGTGCAATTAAAAAATATGACTGACTTCCTTCTCATATGCATCAGTACACTCTCAACCATTTGGCAACTGTTGGACTATTTTATTTTCACCAATTTGCCTTGTGGGTTTGTGCTAATTTGAGTTACCTCAAACTTGTTACGTTGATTTAATAGTTTTTCTACCAATGCTGGCAGGGTTTCTTGCACTTGGGCTTTCCTTGCATAAGTGACTAGTTGATGCACCTTGATGTTGGATTTTATACTGTGAACTGTAACTGAGTGCTGGCGTTTTGCTTTTATGATTTATTCATGGTATGGTTACTGAAATATGAAGTTGCAGAAGAGGTTAGACTATGGATTTAGTGGCTATGAGGTGCCTCGCATACCCCGAGCTGCCAGATCCTCCAGGGTAACAAGACAGACCTTCCTGGACTGCTACTTTTTTACTTTTCTAGTTTGTGGTTCTGAAAAACTTGTATCCTGATAAATTGTCACCTTGTCTTAGAGGAGATGCATATTTCCAAGCAAAACTGACGACCACCAGTTGGGTTCATTTGACTTATTGGCTACTGTAGCTGACGAGTTACTTATGGAGGGGGGAATTTCTCCAAACCCCGTGGATACTTTTTCTGGTGAAGAGCATCAGGCAGTCGTGGAAGATTCAATTACTGAAGAACGTGCCAAAGATAAACCATTTATAGTAAAACCTTGTGATCTTGACATATGCGATCAGAGTTCTCTCCTTACGGAGCAGGTCCTAGAAGCTCCCGTTTCAAATTTTGGTTCAAATGAACTAACGTCTCTTCCAAATGATGTGTGCTTATTGCCTGCTTCTGTAATAACGTCGGAGTGCTTGCAAAAGGTTGGTAGTGCCGGACAATTTGCTGATGATGAATGCAAGCTTGGACTCCGGATTATCACTCAGAAACTAGATGTTCAGTCTTCTGGTTGCAGAGTATCCACTGGTTGTAGATTAGAGGGTGAAAGTGAAAAACAGATAAAAATGGAGTCCAAAATTTTTAGGAATTTGTCAATAAGTAGTAGGGATGGTATGTGCGGTCCAGGGTGTCGAGAGACTTGGGAAAGAAAAGAGTCAGCATTAGTTAGATCATCTAATAGTGTAAAATTTCCATCTTGCAGGGGCCACATGTCTTGTTGTTCTTTCCCGTTTAATTCAGAGGGTGTAAAGATAGTTACTAGAGATAATGACGAAAACTCTTCTAGGCGCACTCAACCTAGAAATGCAAATAAGGCCATTAGGTCTCTTGCTCGTAGTGGAGATCGTAGAATTAGGAAGTCACTAGTGTCCAAGTATTGGAAAACAACTACAAATCTGCAGGGAGAAGGTTACAACTCCAGTAAGATATTTCGTGAAATGCTTTAATTCAAAAGTGACCCAGATATATTCATGCAGTCTGTAGGATGTATTTAATTTGATGTTATAACAATGGCTTCAGATAAAAAGAGATGCAGTTTTCCAAACACAAAGAACCGCTATAAGCGCCAAATATCCCAGAGGGATTACCCTTTCAAGAAAAGAAAGCTTTATTACTGTAGCTCTGCACCTAATACTGATGTAATCGTTAGCAGCGACGGAATATGTAGCTTGCCAGAGCATGACTCGAAAGCAGCTGCCTGCAGCTATGGTTCTGCATTGCCTGGAGGTTCATTTACAGTCTTGCATGCATACTCACATGTGCACACACATGCTATGCGTATCTCATATTTTTCTTGGAGCTTATTGTCAAAATTTTAATTATTATTACACCGAATGCAGTGAATGCTGCTCCCACTTCTGCAACAGGTGAATGTTCACCCTCCCAGTCCAATTCACATGGTATGAGAACCTTTGAGAGTAATTCCTTTTTACTTTTATGATTAAACCTTTTTCCAACATTGAAAGAGGTTCTCATATGGAGATGTTTTTCCTTTCACTCAGTGAAGCTTAAGATCAAGTCTTTTAGGGTTCCTGAGCTATTTATTGAGATTCCAGAAACGGCAACTGTTGGTTCTCTTAAGGTATAAGAACAACAAATCTTTACTTTCCTCTTAAGGTATCAGAACAACAAATCTTTACTTTTCTGATATGCTCTTGTAGCTATCATCATTAAAATGGTGAGAAATATTTCGTTGGTGAACTTTTGCCTCAATCTTGGAATTGCAACTTTTCAGATATATATTTTTCAAATTCTCAATGGTGGATGTATACCCTGTGTCGTTTCATATTCAACTAGTTTCAGCTACCAGCGTCTAATTTTCTTGCTTTTAATTGTATTCAGAGGACTGTTATGAAAGCTGTGACTGCAATACTCGGTGATGGACTACGTGTTGGAATGCTTCTACAGGGTAAAAAGATTAGAGATGATAACAGAACTTTATTGCAAACCGGAATTTCTCATGATAACAAATCAGATGCTCTGGGTTTTACACTGGAGCCAAACCATACTCAAGCTTCCCCAACGGTGTGTCCAGAAGATCCTTTCCAACTTCCCCGGGATAATCCACAACCACTAGCAAGGTATTCTTGCTGTGTTATAATAGCTGTTAGATGACACTTTGTATACTCAGTTGCACAATCTTTTACCTTTGCTTTAACACCAGGATCTCTCCTATTTCCAATGCGGTTCAAGATGCTGTTAAGCAGGGGAATTTGGATGCTCTTCCAGATCTCATGGGAAGTAACATCAGGAATTTCCCTGAAAGCGATAATGATTCAGCTCCTTCCACTCCTGATATGTCGTTAGAGAAAACCCCAACAGGTTCACGAGCACTGGTTGCTGTTCCTGAAATGAGAGAACCTTTGGCTATTGTTTCCACGCACAAATCTAAGCGATCTGAGTCACTGCAGCGTCGAATGCGTAGGCCTTTTACTGTGTCTGAAGTGGAAGCATTGGTTCAGGCTGTTGAGAAGCTTGGTACAGGAAGGTCTGTTCCCTTAGAAACCCAAAATAAGGAATTATAGGAAATGTGGTGGTTTCTTGCAGCTAAACAAGCAATGCTAATGGAGATGTAGCTATAAAAGGCATAAAGTGTTAAAATGATGTATGAAAAGGCTGAATGTATGCTATTCTATCTGCTGCGGGATTTGTTTTGTTTTCTTTCATTTTGTTCATTGCCTTTAATCTTTTGAACTCTGGTGGTTTTCTTCCTCAGATGGCGTGATGTTAAGCTGAAAGCCTTTGATAATGTGAAACATAGAACTTACGTGGATTTGAAGGTGAGCAACTGATGCTTTCTTGTTGCATTCAATTCTTTGGCTTTCCATTGCTTTTTATATTCCTATCGTCCTTCCCCCTCTCAGCTTAGGTCATCGTTCCACTTTTGCTGCATTCAGTGGTTTAATCGCTTTTTTGGTTAATTAACTTTTAACCGCCAAACGAGTCCAACTTTTAGGCAATATCACCCGTCTGAAAGGCAAATGATTAGATGTCCGAACTACTCTATTTATGAAATGAAACCTGGATGGATTTCGTAGTAATAATCATGTTATGCACCAACTGATGGCTCAATCCCCTAGACCTTCTCGTTGTAATACATAAAGAACATGACTATTCTAGAAGCTTTCAGTGCTCGTGTTAGTTAGTAAAAGATAAATTGATTATTTTCTTAACCCAATGCATTTATTGGTGTCTTGGTTTTGTGACATGGGAATTCTCCAGGACAAGTGGAAAACACTGGTGCACACGGCAAGAATATCCCCTCAGCAAAGGAGAGGCGAGCCGGTACCTCAAGAGCTTCTAGACAGGGTCTTAACTGCCCATGCTTACTGGTCCGAGCAGCAAACCAAGTACCAGCTCGGAAGTCAGGCCGCAACGTGAGAGTTGCCTTGTCTGAAGATTTCAGTGTCCAAATCTGGCTGTATAACAGGAGAACAATTATTGGAATGATTATGCAGGCTCTGTTAAAAGGAAGTAAATTAGTGTTTATGTAATATTTTTTAGCTCTCATGGAGATCTGTTTCCTTGTAAATGGATGGTTGTTAGAATAAGGAATCTCCGTTTAACAGTTCTTTTTACACCAAAAAACTGGCATTTTGTTGTTGATTTCTTGTTTACAAAGTTCTCTTTTGTTTGTGTGTGTATATTCTGCAATTTCTACGTGGAATAATTTTTAATTTTTTTCCAGAAATATCAATCATTTGTGGAAACACGTCAATTGGTAGAATTTCATTTTGAAAACTATTCTGGATCTAGGAAAACCCACAACATAAAACGTTGCCCAAACGAATTCCCTTGGAATATAAGTAGGCGCGGTATAGCTCCGGTTTCAAGAAACCAACCCAAATTGAGAATCGATTAAAATTTTATAAATGGAATCATTAGTTTTAGATGAAACGATTCGGTTTGGTTGCAAGTGGGATGGCCATAAAGTTCAAAAAGCATCTTACATGGTGCATGGAAATACACTTCACAATTGCTTTCTTGAGCACATTCTCTATGCAAATTTTTTAATAAGTACACTAGAATAGTTATATTTATGATTTAATAGCCTACATTGTGATTTGGGATCAATACTATATCTGGATCACAATGTTTTAAAAAATAGTCGATAAGTTCTCAATCGAAGTGGAGTATTGGACCATACATTGATTGCATTTGAATTAACTTCGATCTCATTTCATGAGCTTGGCGTCAAAGTTACTCCACCATCTGATTATGGTGATTGGTGGTGACAACGTTGAAGCAACATATACACTTGGGCAAAAATAGACTTTGAATGCCTAAGGATAAAGTATAGTATTTTTTAAATCAACGAGAAAGAAGTTTAGATTTTATCTATTTTATCTTTAAATTAGGTAGTATATATGTGACAGAGGATCCAACATTAGTTGACTGAACATTGATGATGTTAATTGAATTAGGTTGATTAAATCAAACATCCTCTTTTTGGATCTAGGTTCAAGCTCGGTCTACTAACCTATCTTTGCTCATTTTCCTCCCCATATAGGTGGATCCGTTTACATGGGATATACACCTAATCAAGTCCCCTATCACCCATTTTCCATGTATTCATTTTTTTTGTTTTTGTTTTGATAGAAGACTTAACCGATAAAGTGCAAATAATCATGGAAATTTTTTTGGGACGAAGACCTTTACACTCTAGTGTATTCCAGCCCCCCTTTGGCCCCCATTATTTCTCATTAAATTAAATTAAATTTTTCTCTCTCCTATTTTTAACCATACAATTTTCAATAAAATAATATTATACGTAAACCAAAAACTTTTCTTTTCATTTCAACCACTCATTTTTCAAAAAAATACTATTCAAAACATTATAATCTCCAAATAATGAGGCTCAAACAGGGCCCAGTATGCAGGTGGACAAAGCCACTTGATCAAACAAATTTTGAGGTCAATAATATCGATTGTGATATCACAGATATGACCATTCCATTGTCATTAATAACGTTCGTAGATTGTTTTTTAATTTTTATGATTATTTTGATCATTTGAGAAAAGCAGTGTTATTATCATATTTGGACAATCCGAAAAAAGAAAATCATTTGCTAACAAATGAATTACTGATTTCTATTTTCTGTTTCATTTTACCTTTTTTTTTTTACGTTCATCTACAGAAGCAAGTGTAAAGAAAACAAACCACATACATAAACATTCAAATATTTGATTCATTGCCGTCGCTCGGTAAATCAAACTTCCGCTCAGATTTGTTCCTGCTAAACATTCTCTTCAGGGAGCTTCCGATGGACGATGATGAATCACTTATCTTTACATTTTCGATTTCTGAATTGGAATCCGCCACTATAATTTCCAATATAGAATCCGCATTGCTGATCCGCAATTCATTTAGATTCGTCTCTGATAACCACTGATTCAGAATTTCTTCGTTTTGTGGCGAACTTGAATCTGCAGAATTTGTAGTGTCAGATAAAACGGGAGCTCGACAAATTGGACATGTTGTATGAGAATGGAGCCACATATCAATGCATTCAACATGAAATGCATGATCGCATTTTGGTAATCTTCTCCCAACTTCTTCGTCTTCAAATAAACTCAAACAGATCACACATTCCAGTCCATGTTTGTGTTCTTCTGCTTTGAACACGAATAGTGGAATTGAAGAAATAGTTGAAGATTCAAGACCCTTGGATGGAGATATAGCGGAATTCGTATCAACTGTTAATGTATGAAACCGAGCCCCCAATACTTGCGGAACCGGCACTGATGTCCCACCTCTATGATGGGCTTGAGCTAAAAACCATTTTGCATATATATGCAACAACAAAACAAAGAGAACTACTACAAGCAAAGAAACAATCGCAGCTAGCATGATGTTAGTGTCGTACGAGAATGTGATATGGATTATGCCGTCGTCCTCTGAAGACGATGCGCTCAACATGTTCGACGGTTTGCCTAAATGGGCTATGGCAGTATACAAGCAGACAGAACAGTGGTACCGGGTATGATACTAGATTTTCTTGAAAGTCTAGAAATTGCAAGAAGAAATGGATTAGAAGTGGAATGTATTCTCGTTTGATTATGGGGCTGCGTTTACGTAAATATAAATTCATTGGTTGCTTCTGAATTACGTGTTTATTATCACCTCTGATTGATCACTGGGCTTTGTCGTATATGTGAGTGTACGTGTGGATGAGAAGTCAACAGAAAAATGATCCTTTTATCGGTCCAAGAAGCATAAAGTCATAGAATTCATGCATTAAAATGAGGGAAGGGGCTGAAATAAAGGTCTCGTGAAGGTGACGGCAGAAATAGGTTATTGGAGCGATTTAAGGTATTCATGTGCTTACTCATATATAATATTAAGAAATGCATCACAGATTATGCAAGAAGATGTATTTCTAAATCGATAAGGATACCCTTATGTAATAAAACTAAGCCCCGGTTGGCCCCTATTAAATTTCATTGCATTAGATTCTATTTTTCTCTCCTATTTTTAACCATACAATCTTTCATAAAATAATATTACATGTAAATAAATAAAAAAATCTTTTTTTTCAACTACTCATTTTTCAAAAAAATATTGTTTCACCCATTTTCATTTCTAGAAAATGGGGGCCAAACGGGGGCTAATCCTATGTCTATTTAGAGGTATAAACTTGTAACTGTCTCGTCTTTACAATCATATAGTGTCGGATTTGATTATACAATGCTTCTTCATGTACAGACGGAAGAATTATAGAACTCCTCTAGACAAGATACAAGGAAGAGGGGTTGTTTTTATTTTTATTTTTTATTTGCATTATTTTATTTTCATGGGGTTCACCTCATGTGAGATTTCTGGATTAACTCTGTACATAGAATTTCTATACAAATGGAATAATACTTGATTACACGGGTTGTTCCTTGTACTTGGGCCATATCAGGTGGCCTTGATGAGAACAATGAATCCAGAGTTCAGGGAATTCAATAATGTCAAAGATATTTGTAACTTTTTAGCTTTCCCAAAGAGATTCCCCAACAGTAGGGCACCACTGAGTTTGTTCATCCCAATATGGATTGTGGTTTCCTTGTCCGGCAACCGTTTAAAAATTGTTTTTAATCTGTCAAATTA